GGACATCTTTCTGAAACAAGTACAGTATTTTTATCCATATTGAAATGCGCGATAGCCGAACACCCTTCATTAATATCATACCTCACTGTCCCCACTTTGCAAGTGGTGTCAGGAATGCATTTTTAGCTGCACTCTTCACACCAACAACCTTATCAACACTCACTCCAATGTTGTACAGACAGACTCAAGTGCTTCTGAAATAATGAAACCTTAAAGAATATTGAAATAAAAAGATCTTGCATTAAACATTAATAGTTTAAGTTTTATAATACCTTCCTGCCTTCTCCTGAATTCATATTGGACTAACAGGCCCTTGATATTAGAGCTAAAAAGTTCATTTATTCATAACTTTTTATTATGTTCTGCTCATCATTGTTCTTTGTTTAAATCCAGATGTTTTTCACATCACAAAATTTTCTCTGTATTGTTCAAAATTGTTCTTTTATGATAAATAATTCATCCAAAAATCTGCGTACACCTGTCATCCTTACATATTTTTGAATTAACATGAATAATGCCCTTGTAAATATTTGTACACCTGTGTCATCCTTACTTTTACTATTTTTGTTTTTGGGTCACAATTAGCGATGCTCAGGGGTTACTTCTGGCTCTGCACTCAGGTATTACTCCTGGTAGTGCTTGGAGGACCATATGGGATTCCGGGAATTGAACCTGGGTTGGCTACATGAACAGCAAATGCCCTATCTGCTGTCCTATTGCTCTGGCCCCTACTTTTAACTTTTTATTTATACTATTGTCATAATTTTTTTATCTGTGATACCTTAAAGTTTTTTAAACATCTTTGTCTTATCATAAACTAGGCATTTATCAGAAATAACTGAAATAGAAGTAATCACAATGTAGACCAATATCAAGGAAGATTGGTCCTAAAACGACTGCCATTATAGATAGTAATATCGGTGATGTTAGTTCATAGCCTTTTTCTTTGGAGTATTACTGGTTTGATTTTTGCTGTTGTTGCTGGGGACCAAATCTAGTGGTGGATGGGGACTACTCCTGGCTCTATTTTTGGAGGCTGTTCCTGGCTGGGCCTTGGAGACCAGGAGGTGCTAGAGACCAAAGTTGGCTCTCCAGCAGGCAGAGTATGCACCCAGTTGAGTTGTTTCTCTGAACTTGCCTATAATTTTGAAAGTAAATTGCTTGCACCTTTTAAGTAGATAATGTTTATAGATCTCTTCTGCAATTACGCATTTTGAATTCAATCTCTATATGAGATGGACTCAATTATCCCATTCTTCAATGCCCCTAGTGTGTTTCTTAGAAACTTGCCAATCAGGAGTTGGCAATGGTTTACTAAATCTTTTTTTTTGTTGTTGTTGTTGTTCAGTAGTCTTTATTTCTGTGACTCATTGAGGATTAGGGAGAGAGAAAACAGGGACTGTATCACTGTATCACTGTATCACTGTCATCCCATTGCTCCTCGATTTACTCAAGTGGGCACCAGTAATGTCTCTATTCCTCCCAGCCTGAGTATTTTTTTAAATTTTTATTAGTGAAACACCATGAAATACAGTTGTGGACTTACAAATTTTTGTGCTTGGGTTTCAGGTATACAATGATTGAGTACCCATCCCTCCACCAGTGCCCATTCCCCACCTCCAATGCTCTCAGCATCCCTCCCCCCCCCACCCCACCCAACACCAGTGGCAGGGCATTCTCTTTTGTTTTCTCTCTCCTTTTGGGTGCTGTGGTTTGCAAAAGAGGCATTGAGTGGCTATCATGTTCAGCCTATAGTCTATTTTCAGTTTGCATCTCTCATCCTGGGAGGGTCCTCCCAACACCCTTTACTTGGTGCTCCCCTATCTGTCTGAGCTGCCTTCTCCCTCAGCATGTGTGTGGCTGGCCTCCAAGCCATGGAGTGAACCTCCTGGTACATATCTTGGCTATTCTTAGGTGTTACTCTCCCGATTTGTTGCTTTATATTCCCCAGATGAATGCAATCTTTCTATGTCTGTCCCTCTCTTTCTGACTCATTTCGCTTAGCATGATACTTTCCATGTATTACCACTTGTATGTAAATTTCATGACTTCATATGTTCTAAAAGCTGCATAGTACTCCATTGTGTAGATGTAGCAAAGTTTCTTTAACCAGTCATCTGTTCTCGGGCACTCAGGGTTTTTCCAGATTTTGGCTATTGTGAATAGTGCAGCAATGAACATAGAAGTGCAGATGTCATTTCGACTGTACTTTTTTGCCTCGCCGGGATATATTCCCAGTAGTGGTACTGCTGGGCCAAATGGGAGCTAATTTTTTGAGAATCGTCCATACTGTTTTCCAAAAGGACTGAACCAGTTGGCATTCCCACCAGCAGTGAAGGAGAGTCCCTTTCTTGCCACATCTATGCCAATACAGGTTGCTTTTGTTCTTTTGGATGTGTGCCAGTCTCTGTGGTGTGAGTTGATATCTCATTGTTGTTTTGAGCTGCATCTCCCTGATGATTAGTGATGTAGAGCATTTTCTCATGTGCCTTTTAGTCATTCGGATTTCTTCTTTGGGAAAGTTTCTGTTCATTTCATCACCCCATTTTTTGATGGCATTAGATGTTTTCTACTTGTAGAGTTTAACCAGTGCTTCGTATATCCTTGATATCAACACTTTATCAGATGAGTATTGGGTAAATATCCTTTCCCATTCTGTATATTGTCTTTGTATTCTGGTTATTGTATCTTTTGAGGTTCAGAAGCTTCTTAATTTAAGATAGTCCCATTTGTTTATCTCTGTTTCCATTTGGTTGGTCAGTGGAGTGTTGTCTTTGAAGATACCATTAGCCTCAATATCATGGAGGGTTTTGCTGACCTTGTCTTCAATGTATCTTATGGATTCTGGCCTGATGTTGAAATCTTCAGTCCATTTTTATCTGACTTTTGTGCATGTTGTTAGGTCAAGGTCTAAGCCCATTTTTTTTGCATGTGGTTGTACAGTTATGCCAGCACCATTTGTTGAAGAGGCTTTCCTTGTTCCACTTCACATTGCTTGTTCCCTTATCAAAGATTAGATGTTCATACATTTGGGGTTGTGTGTGCGGATATTCCAACCTGTCCCTTGGTCTGCAGCCCTGGCTTTGTTCCAGTACCATGCTGTTTTAATTATTACCACTTTGTAATAGAGTTTGAGGTCCAGTCTGAGATTTTAGAAGCCTCTCCTTACTCGTCTTTCCCAATGATTGGAGGCTCTTTCAGGGTCAGGGAAATGAGACCTGTTTTTTAAATTATTATTTATGTATTTATTGAATCACCATGAGTACAGTCATAAAGTCTTTCAGTTCAAGTCTCAGTTGGTCATACAATAATAAAACACCCATCTCTTCACTAGTGTACATTTTCTACCACCAAGTACCCCAGTATACCCCCCCTCCCAACCACCCCCTGCCTATGTGGCAGATTTTCACTTTACTCTCTCTCTACATTGATCACATTCAATATTATGACAAAAGACCTAACATTGTTATTTGGAATTTTCCCCAACATTCAGACCTGCCACAAAGACATCATTAGAAAATTTGTTTTCTAATGTTGATTATGAAGAGCATATGATGTTGTGTGGCCACAATAGTGGCCACATGAATTTGGATTTCTGATATTTTAGTAATAAACCTAGAGGGATTATTGCCAGAAGCCCCTGGGTTCCAAGATTGGTATGTGTGCCTCTGGGTTCATGGTTGGTCAGAAGCCGGAGGAGGCGTTTGAGGGTGGCAACCTGGAGCATTTTCATGGCAGGGAGCAGGGCCGAATCCATGCCCCATCCCATGAAGCCCCATGTGCCTCGTCAATGCAGTCTCATACCTGGCTGTTCATTAGGCTCTAAAAGTGCAGGCCACCATGTCACCACCACAAAGGGGGACAGGCAGAGGGACAGACACCCTTCCCCTCCCAGGGCGGCATAGCACCATAGTTAAATACACAGTCCAAGTATATTTTGGTTGGGCATTATCTTTTGCTCAGATTTTCCCACCACCATTCAAGCCTGATTTTCAGGGACAAATGCTAGATCATTTACTTTCTATTGATCACTTTGCATATCAGAAAATGCCGCGCGGCAGCATAAGCAGCCGCACGGTTCAGAAAACAGTCCTGGTACCCGCATGCCAGAGTCATGCTTGTAGAAGCTCATGGTCACCGGGATTCCATCTGAAGAAGGAGGGGAGACCGCACCTAACCCATCTGGGACCTCCCAGTGATATCGGCTCTGTATGGGGCCCGAAGAATTCTCCGGGAGTTGTGGGGCCCTCCAGCCGGTTTTCTACTTCACTGCTGTGTGCTGTAAGATGGCCTGGGGGCCAGTTGTGGGCGTGAATTCTGGAATCAGAGGTTGCCTGGGAGCTGGGGAGGCCCCATTACGGTTCGAAAAATAGTCCTGGTACCCGCATGCCAGAGCCTTGCTTGTAGAAGCTCATGGTCACCGGAATTCCATCTGGAGAGGATGGGGAAATAGCAGCTACCCCATCTGGGATCTCCCGGTGATATCGATTCTGTATGGGGCCTGGAGAATTCTCCGGGAGCTGTGGGGCCCACCAGCCGGTTTTCTTCTTTGCTGCTGTGTGCTCAAAATGTCATTGTTACTCTTTTTTGGCATATTGAATAAACCACAGGGAGCTTGCCAGGCTCTCCGAGAGGCATATATATATATATATATATATATAATTTCTATCTATGATTTTATTGCCTACTTTCTGAACCCCAACAAATATGGTGTGGTAATTATGGATAATGGGTAGGAAGTGTCTTATGATGTGTCGTGTGGCTGCTGCAAAGTGGCTGCACAGTCCGGAAAGCAGCCTGGAGTGTGGTGGTTGTTGGGTAGTGGAGATTGGCTGCTGAGGCTGGGCCCCTTGGGGTGTGGTGGGCTCTCACCCACGCCCCTCTGGGGCACCCTGAGTGAAAACAGCCTGGCCCAGAGTCCGCATGGAGTCTGCTTCTCCCCCTGACTCCTTGGTAGTCTGCTAGTGGGAGACTCTCAACTTTGATCCTTTGTCCTCATCATGCGTAAGTGCATCTCCATCCATGTTGGCCAGGCTGGTGTCCAGATTGGCAATGCCTGCTGGGAGCTCTACTGCCTGGAACATGGCATCCTGTCCGATGGTCAGATGCCCAGTGAGAAGATCATTGGGGGAGGAGACGACTCCTTCAACACCTTCTCCAGTGAAACAGGCCCTGGCAAGCATGTGCCCAGGGCAGTGTTTGTACACTTGGAGTCCACAGTCATTGATGAAATTCACATTGGCACCTAGCGCCAGTTCTTCCACCCTGAGCAACTCACACATAAAAAAACCAAAAATCCCAAAATCCACTGGCTACAGAAAATGACCCTAACCTTAAATCTAAACCTAAATCTGGCCATCAGCCTTGCAAAAGTGCCAGTAATAATCAGAATTTTAGGTGGAGGTGACTCAGTTTAGCCTCCGAAATGCTTTTCTGAGTAATATTGTAGGCAAATGCAAAGAACACTCTTCAAAGCCAGGAGAGCACCTGACATTCTCTTTGGAAGACTCTGACTGGAGCAGTCATAAAATGCAATCAATTACCATGTCCTTTATCTCTAGGGAATGGAATTTAAGAAAATTATTTTCCTGAGGGAACATAGAGTCATCATTTGTGATGAATGAAAGTTTGGAAGGCTAACTTTCACATTAGGAGATATTCTCAAGACATACACTTCCAGTTCTAGACTCTAAGCTCTACTGTTACCAGACAAGGGAACACCAAGGGAAGGTAGTTCAGTACCAAGGGGGTGGAGGGCTTGGGACTTGTCATATAGCATGTTTGACTGACAGTTGACATTCAGATTACTAGTCCCCAAGTCCCTTTAGCTCATCCATCCTTTGAGGATGACAATAGTAATTCTTAGCCAGTGGGTGAGCAGTGGACTACTTTAAAAATTAAAGTGTCCTGGTACTTCAAACTCCATAAAAAATTTGAAAAAAATTGCACCAGGATAAAGCCAGACTAGATGTTGTTTCTCTTCCAGTTTCATCCCCAAATGCTTCCTTCCTTCCTTATAACTTTCTATTGAAAAACATTATCAATATTCCTGATGACGTTCTGTCCTTTCACTCTTCTTCCAGAACACAATTTTCCTCGTGAATTCTAAAGTTTACATTTTACATGAAATGTTTCATATCAAGGGCTGGAGCAATAGCACAGCCTTGTGCTCAGCCAACCCGGCCAAACCGAGTTCGATTCCTCCGCCCCTCTCAGAGAACCCGGCAAGCTACCGAGAATATCTCGCCTGCACGGCAAAGCCTGGCAAGTTACCCATGACATATTCAATATGCCAAATACAGTAACAACAAGTCTCAAAATGGAGATGTTACTGGGCCTGCTCGAGCAAATCGATGAACAACAGGAGAACCGTGACAGATTTCACATCAGCTTCATCGTAATCTCCTCTAAAATATATCAGAATTTGTGAACAAAATTTTTTCCCCTACAACTAGCTAGTTTCAATGCTAAAACATTCTGAAGGGTCAACAAAAACTGGCTTTTCCACTGCCTTTCTGCCCTGGACTTCAGAGACTGGGAATGTAAGGGCTAGATGTTGTCCCAGAGCCAAACTTTGGCGAGAACTGCTTGATACACTCAAGGATCTCAAAAAAGTTCTATTGAACTAATTTTATAGGTTTTTGCCCTATAACTTAACCCGAAAGATGCCAAGACTTTACGATAAATGGTTACCTTGGAAACTCAGGGAAACCCAGGATAAACCTCAAGTATGAAGTCATTGTTTAGAATGTCCCTGGCTTACTCCTTTCTAATTCAGAATGAGCACTTTTGCGCAGACTTGTCTGTTGCTGAGGAGCACACCCTAAACTGTCAGGCTTAATAAAGAAATGAAAAGTCAAATGGTTTTAGAGGAGAACCAGCAAATTGGTATTAGATCTGGTTTTGATCTTCATCAAATTGCCTCAGTTTGCTTGAATACTATGCTAAATAGAATAGAAGCCTCATCTTTCCATGCATACTTACTCTCAATCTTATTATTTTGCATTGCCATATTTTAAATGTGTTACATGCTGGACCCAGTTTTGTTCTAGGAATTGTTCTACAACACACACACACACACACACACACAAAAGAAACAGTAAAGGAATTCTGATAAGTGTTTTTTATATATTTTATCATTCTTTGTATATTTTTGTAGACAATGCTTAGTTTCTTTTGAATTTTTATTCATTATGAAAAAACTCTGGGATTTTTAATAGTTTTTTATTTTACTTATATGTTTTTCAAAAATGAAGCGGTAATAGACTTGGTTGGGTTTATGTTAACAGTTTTGCATTTATTTTTAGCAAATCTATTCATAGTTCTTCTTTTCCCCTTTCTTCCTTTTTCTTCCCTTAAGATTAATTAAATATTATTATTATTATTATTATTTTGTTTGGAGCCATGGCTGATGGTGCCTCAGGTTCACCCCTGTGCTCAGGGATTACTTTTGTAGTGGTTGGGAACCCATATGTTGCATGAGAATTTGGACCAGGGTTATGGCTTGTGAAAGTGACTAACTTCTATGCTTTTCTTTTCAGTTCTCTTCCTTTTATTTTATGGTCACTATTATTTAAGAATCTTGTTTTCTATATGTAATTGTTTTAAGTTTTTGTGGTGACTATGTTTATAGTATTAATTTTTAGTTTTTCACAACATTTTAAATATATACCATTTTTTTCTATGGGAATCCATTTTAATTTTTCTAATTCTGTCCTGTGGCCAATGTGTCAATTCATGTTGAAACTTCATAGTACATTGTTATTATTTTCCCTTTAAACATTTATCCTGAATCAAGACTATGGTTTAGGGGTAGAGCATATGCCTTGCATGTGTGAAGTCCTGAGTTCAATCTCTAACACCCCAAAACAAAGCAAAATAAAACATTTATGCTATAAATGGTATGATACCTTGTTTCTTTTTTTGACTTGTCTCTTAAGCACTGCATAAATGAAACTATTATAAATATTTATCTCTTACTGGTCCTGGTGTACCTCACTTCTTTATGAAGATTCAAGTTTCTATCTGCTATCATTGTCCTTCCTCTGAGGAACTGTCTTTAGTAAATGCCCTCATGAAAATCTAAAAATTAGTTTTCTCTTGATTTTTCTTTTTATGAAATTGTCTTAATCTTTTCTTAATTTTTGACGAGCTGTATCTTGCTCTGTTTTGTTTGAATACTCAACTCCACAGTGCAGCCTGACAATTCAGTGTTTCTGCCTGGAGTTGCAGTGCTGGGAGCTGCCAGAACTGCAGCCTGTGAGTGCCTAGGGGATGAAAAGGTGTAGGTCATTCTGGGCATTCAGCTAGGAGTCTCATACAGGCTGAGCTGGGACTCTGCCACTGTCACCATGTCCGTAGACTCTTTCCTTTAATTGTGAAAGATGCTTTTGGTAGATTTAAAATTTTAAGTTAATGAGGTTTCCACCCCCACTCTTTTGCCCTGTCCCTTACAGATTTGTAAAGGAGTTCCATTAGATTTCTGATCCTAGTTCTACTTAAATGATTTGTTTTCATAAACTTTTTGCTTTTGCTTTTGCTTTGTTGGTCATGTGTCCTGATGAAGCTTCTGAATCTTTTTTTGAAGGAAGCATATTTCTTTCTTTGAGTTCATTAGGTAAGATTTATATTTCTTCACATTCTTCTAAGATTCTTTTTCTGACATTTTCCCTGTCCTCCCAAAAATCATTTTCTTGTTAGACTTCTTGCTATTGTTGCATAAATAATTTATTACTTTTGTTCTGATTTTGTCCCTTTCATGGTTCATTTAATTATTTTATTACTTTGAAATCTTCAGTTTAAGTAACATTTTTCTTTAGATTCTCTAATTGTTATTTTTTTCATTTTTATGTGATTTTATAGAAATCCCATTGGGTTTATTCACTTAAATTTCGAATCTGCTTATATTTTCTGAAAACCCTTAAGTATAATTTTAAAGCTTTTAAAATATCTTTTATTGTAATTTCATCTTCTTTAATCTGTTGTTTTGTTTCTGTTGAAAGTTATCTTTATAGGTCATATCTTTATAGGTCATAGGTCAAATTAAGTCATATTTTCCTAATTCTTTTTTTTCCTAATTCTTAAAATGTCTAATTTTTTTGCTCACTAAATATAATACTTTTATTCATGTACTTTCAAAAAAAAGCAGAATTTCATCTCTTATTTTTATAAGAGTAGTCATTAATTCAGTTTATAAATACATATCTATAGCACTGTCTTCCCTTGTTCATCGATTTGCTTGAACAGGCACCAGTAACGTCTCCGTTATGAGACTTGTTACTTTTTTTGGCATATTGAATATGCCACGGGGAGCTTGCCAGGTTCTCCGTGTGGGCGGGATACTCTCGGTAGCTTGCGGGGTTCTCCAAGAGGGAGAGAGGAATTGATCCCCGGGTCGGCCACATGCAAGGCAAATGCCCTACCCACTGTGCTATCACTCCAGTCCATGTACATAAAGGTAAAGGTAAAGGTCAAGGCCCTCCAGTTGTTCGTTGATTTGCTCGAGCGGGCCCAGTAACGTCTCCATTGGAGACTTTGTTGTTACTGTGTTTGGCATATCGAATACATCACGGGTGGCTTGCCAGGCTCTGCCGTGCGGGCGAGATACTCTCGGTAGCTTGCCGGGCTTTCCAAGAGGGGCGGAGAAATCGAACTGGGGTCGGCCATGTTGGCTGCGTGCAAGGCAAACGCCCTACCACTGTGCTACTGCTCCAGCCCATGTACATATCTATCTATAATCTATAATCTCTTGCTATTTACCAGTTGGTGAGCATTTTGATTATTTCTGCTATTATAAATAATGGCACAGTAAACATCATTGTGCATGTATCTCTTTGAATTCAACCATCTTTTAAAATAGTTTGGTAGGTAAAGTTGTTCCTTTATGTACAATTATAAGGAAAAGAGACAAATTAGTTTATGAATATACTATCAATAATTTTTCAAAAAGACTGCAATATCTAGGCCATGGTGTAACAACACTGAAATAATTTTAGGGTAACTAAAATTATGTTCTCAAAAATAATTGTATAAAATAATTTTATAAATATTTTATTATAAATTTTTTCTTAAAATTTTTCTTATTCATGTTTATTTTCTTCATGTCAATAGTCTCTTTTTTTCCTCCTTTTCTATCTCAGTGTCACTTTGATAGTTAACTGAATAAATATGGCTACTATAATGAATGAAATTGGCATCTCTTCTTGGAATTAAACTGTTATTCTGTCACTTTTAGAGCATTGAATTTAGA